TTCCAAGAGGGACATTGAGAAACTAGGATGTATCCACCAGAGGAGAGTGGTGAGGAGCCTGGGCACTGCTCCACAGGATGAGGGACCAGGCCAGTTGGGCATGTTTAGCCTAGAGGCCTCTGCAGGACACGAGTACTGGCTTCATATATCTGAAGGGCTGTCAGATGGCTCGTTCTATGTGACTCCATAGGGCAGAAGGAGGATCATTAGGGATAGGGGTTAAAGGGAAATGCATTTCTGTTCAAAGAATTTTCCAATATTGCTGACTTACAACAGAATGGTCTTGAAGTGTGTTCAGGGAAATGCTGGCATCCATGCACCCTAGAGCTTATTTGGAAAAGAAGTTAGAAAAGAACTTTGGAAAAGAAGTTGATTCCATGACTTCTAAGTCCCCTTTAACTGGAAGATTTTGAGAGACTTTATGCACTATTTTTCTTGTACTGCTATTTCACTCCAGTAGATAACATTTTAGTGCTTTTGACCTTGCAATTCCAAAAACAAATAAGAATGGTTTATAAATATTAGAATATATATATTAATAAAACAAACTTTTAATAAAAAATTCAATCCAGAGGACCCCTGAGAAAAAGTAAGTTGTTACAGAATTTTGGCACTGAATTTCAACCTAAGGTTGCTCAAAGTCTGGGCAAAAAGAGAAATGTGTGATATCATAGATGCTTATGTTCATCTGTATTAGTGTTGGCTTTGGCTTCCTAACGGTATTATGAGATCCTTAATGACAGAGAATAAATCTTTTACTTCATTTTAACTCCAACAACAAATATCAGACTATTTTTTAATTTTTATTTATTTATTTATTTATTTATTTATTTTGAGACAGAGTCTCACTATGTTGCCCAGGCTAGAGTGAGTGTGGTGGCACCAGCCTAGCTCACAGCAACCTCAAACTCCTGGGCTCAAGTGATCCTTCTGCCTCAGCCTCCCAAGTACTGGGACTACAGGCATGCGCCATCATGCCCGGCTAATTTTTTGTATAAATATTTTTATTTGGTCAATTAATTTCTTTCTACTTTTTTTTAGTAGAGACGGGGTCTTGCTCAGGCTGGTTTCAAACTCCTGACCTCGAGCGATCCGCCTACCTCGGCCTCCCAGAGTGCTAGGATTATAAGCATGAGCCACCGCACCCGGCCCAGACTATTTTATACAGAATAGATGTTCAGCATATTTTGAATGACTTGACTTTCTTAAAGATGAAATAGGAAATGTTTTTCCTTAATTTTTTCTCAACATCTGGTAGAAAAGTTCATGGAAGATGGATTTCTTACAGCCTGCTCAGGCTACAAGTCACAATTCTGGAACTATATTATATTGCTCCAATAAGGTAGCATGAACTTGGCCTCTAGTAAGCCCCAAAATGGCATAATCACATCTACTGGCCTTCAAAACAGGTTTCTGTCTAAATGCATTTGTGTTGCAGGCTATTGCTGCCCTGTGACACTGGCTTTCCTTCCTCTGTAGCTCTCCACTGTACCCAGCAGTAGCAATAACCAACATTCACATTCACTTTCCTAGAACGCAGGCACTGTTCTAGATGATTTAAGTATATTTACTCATCTCATCCTACCAACTCCAGATATTGTGCTCCTAGCGCACTATACCTTCTGTCTCTCGGAAGTTGCCTACCCTCAATGTGTATTTAAGTCACCAAGGGACCAAAGTCTGAAGTGAGTTCTGGCTTCTTAGTAGCAAGATACCAAGTGGTAATGGGTTTCCTCTACCCATCCTCTGCCTCTCAGTTCCCCTAGACCAGCTAAGAAGCTGCCCTGCTGTTTCCCCTCCCAGTCCAGCTCCTGGGCTTGGCTGCTCTCCAGCTCTACACCAGGTCTGCTTGGCTCAGGACTTTGGAATGAAAGATACAACTGAGCTGCGTAGAGTGACTCACATCTGTTTGGAGTGGTTATAGCCTATTTCTGTGCCATTTAGCAATTCTTCCTCCCCAAACCCACCACCTCTTCATTTTCCTAAAAATGCCAGATGGTATATATTTATTTTTAAATCAATGTGAATTTTGATACATTTAGCTTTAAAAATGTATCAACACTTCCTGCCCCTTCACCCTACCCCAAGGATACTTAGAATTACCCCACAGTATTGCAAAACCAAGAGGCCTGTGTTGTTTCTAGAGGGCATGGTGTTGCAGAAATCGCTCTTTGCTTATGACCTGCAGGTAGACGCTTAATAGGAGCTTTCTGATGATGACATCTCATGTCAGGTGGAGATAGGGATAGGACCAAGCCCTGCCTGTGGCTTTGTCCAGGCCAGGGTGGAAGGGGGGCAAGTCTGTGCCTGGCATTTCCTGCTGCTGTTCCTGCTAGATACAGCTAAGCCCAAGGGTAGGCAGAAGCAAAGGGTGTGCCCATGGGAACCTCATCCTCCTTTATGAGGTTTCCCACACAGCCAGGAGTCAGTCCCTTTCCTTCATGCTAACCAGCTGAGTCACTGGCACCAAACACACTGTCTAAAGTCGTGTGAATCCCTATTCCAGTGAATGTTCTCCACTGCAGGAGGTCCCTGGGTATTGAAGTGTTGGAAGAGGCTCCTTAGCTCGAAGCAATAAATTAGCAGGTCAATGCTCTTCTCCACCTGGGCACAGTGAGCCTGTGTGCCTGGAAACACTCCGTGCTTCCCTGTGGACTCAGCCCGATCTGCCAAGACCAAGGCTGGACAGAGGCTGCACTTAGGAAATCATGCAGAGAGTGTTCAGATCTTTCATTTCTGATCTGGCCCTGCTACAGGATGAGCAAGGGTAATTGAACACTAAGGGTACTTTAAAAGTGTCTTTAGACACTGAGTTTGAGGACACTGGGTGCAGTGGCTCCTGCCTTTAATCATTGCACTCTGGGAAGCTGAGGTGGGAGAATTGCTTGAGGTCAGGAGTTCAAGACCAGCCTGAGCAAGAATGAGACCCCCACCTCTACTAAAAATAGAAAAATTACCCGGATGTTGTAGTGTGTGCCTGTAGTCCCAACTACTCAGGAGGCTGAGGCAGGAGAATCTTGCCCAGGAATTTGAGTCTGCAGTGAGCTATAATGACACCATTGCACTCTACCCAGGGTTGCAGAGCAAGACTCTGTCTCAAAAAAAAAAAAAAAAAGAAAAAGAAAAAGAAGAGTGTCTTTAGACACTGAGTTTGAGTTCCAGTAGTAGCATTTATTTGTTTATTTATATTTGAGCAAATCAGTGAACTTCTCTAGATCACATATTTCCTTTTCTGTCAAACAGGAATAGAACGGGAATGGTAACATCAGTCTCCCCCATTTCACAGGCATGCGTGAGGAGCAAATGGCAATGTATAGGAGAACACTTTGTAAGCTTTCATAGTGCTATGAGAATGCAAACAATTATTAGAAATATTTATTTATTTATTTATTTTGAGACAGAGTCTCACTCTGTTGCCTGAGCTAGAGTGCCGTGGTGTCAGCCTAGCTCACAGCAACCTCAAACTCCTGGGCTCAAGCGATCCTCCTGCCTCAGCCTCCCGAGTAGCTGGGACTACAGGCATGCGCCACCATGCCCAGCTAATTTTTTTCTATATATTTTTTAGTTGGGCAATTAATTTGTTTCTATTTTTAGTAGAGACGGGGTCTTGTTCTTGCTCAAGCTGGTCTCAAACTCCTGAGCTCAAGCAATCCTCTTGCCTCAGCATCCCAGAGTGCTAGGATTACAGGCATGAGCCACCAAGCCCGGCTGGGATCTGCCATTCTTTTCTCACTTCCTTCGTCATACTCTACCCCAGGCAGGCAGGCAGGGCTGTGCCCATGAGGTGCAGTGCAAACTTGCAGGGAACATACGAGGTACAGAAGAGGCAGGCACCTGCATACTCATCCTAGTAAGGGAATAGAACCAGACAGAATTCAGGGCTGGCTGGGGTAGGACCCCTCCAGGCAGAGCTGACCATCAGCCAAGAGTCAGTGTCAAGCAAAAGGTGATCTCAAACAAAGTCTAAAGCCAAGACAGATGTAACAGCTGCTGAGCATGCAGGTGCTTTGACAAGGCCTCCCTACAGAGTGAGACTTCCTATCCTGGACCGCTCAGAAATCGCTAGTTACCTCCAATCTGGCCATTGGCTGGCTGGAGCAAATGAAAGTCCCCCTCCGGGAGGGTCCTTGCCTGTCCCAGCAGCCTTTGGTGTCACTGTCCAGGTGGAAAGATATACACCCCCAGGCAGACGTGGAATCTGCTCACGTCTCCACGGCCACCCAGGCTTGCTGGTTCAGATTCCTAAGCAGACAATTTTGGCTCATGGGGAGAAAGCCTACATTTCTGGTATCAGAAACTTCATCCTTAGTGAACATTGCACTGCTAGCTGCTTACTGTGTCTGGGATGAGAGACCTAGCAGTAAGCATGCCGTTGTTACCCAAACCAACCCCTGAGAGAGATGTTTATGAAAAAAATCAGGGTGCTCAAGGGAGAACAGTGCAGATGGTTCAAATCCTTCCCAAACTGGCCAGTCAATCCTTGGAGTTCACCCTAGTGGGTAAGTAAGGACAGAACCCAGAGTGCCAGGTCCCAAATTAATATTCACCCATTCCTAGGGGTTAGTTTGTAGACCAAGAAAGCAAAAAACAAACAACAGTGGGCCCCTTAAATGATTTTCCAGAGAAGATTATTAAGACTTAGTGCTCTGAGTAAAGAACTCAAGAAACAAAGACTTCCAGTCCTCCTGAGTTTCTCCAAGTTAAGAAAAATAAACTCTTTTTTTTTTTTTTTTTTGAGACAGAGTCTCGCTTTGTTGCCCAGGCTAGAGTGAGTGCCGTGGCGTCAGCCTAGCTCACAGCAACCTCAAACTCCTGGGCTCAAGTGATCCTTCTGCCTCAGCCTCCCGGGTAGCTGGGACTACAGGCATGCGCCACCATGCCCGGCTAATTTTTTTTATATATATATCAGTTGGCCAATTAATTTCTTTCTATTTATAGTAGAGACGGGGTCTCGCTCTTGCTCAGGCTGGTTTTGAACTCCTGACCTCGAGCAATCCGCCCGCCTCGGCCTCCCAAGAGCTAGGATTACAGGCGTGAGCCACAGCGCCCGGCCCGAAAAATAAACTCTTAATCGATTAATATTTGGTTTAAGTCAGGGGCTGCAAATTGACTGTGGGCCATATGTGGTTAGCAGGAGTGTTCTGTTTGATCATTTTGTTATGCCTGTGCTGTGTGTTAAAAGCAATGTCACAGATACTAGGTGTTGAAACAGACTCTGTGGACACTTAAATGGCCTGAGAAGACAGTGAGAGTAGGGCCTCAGGTACGCCAGGGTTTGTAATCTGGCCTGAGTTTGTAATCTAGTTTAAGGAGGTGAGATGCACGCCCAGGGAGAGAGCTATCCCTAAATGTGAGCAGTAGATGGCCAGGGGTGGGGTGGCAGAGTTGGGAGGGGTGAGCAATATGGACTAGAGCCAGGAAGCTCTGAGGAGGGAGAGCTCACTCTCAACCAGGCAGTCAGGGAAGGCTTCTTGGAGGAGTGACATTGCTGTAGTGTTTGGGAATGGGACTAGTGGTGAAGAGGTGTGTTCTGGGGCAGGGGAACGAGCAGGCAGAAAGACTCAGAGGGAGGAAATCTCCAGCTATATTCAGGCTAATTTGGCTAAAACTGAGAATTTGAGTTGGAGAGAAATGGGAGTGGGCAAAGAATGTGTGGTCTTGAATGAAGATGAGTAGGAATCCAATCTCTTGAGTCTCAAACCTATTCAATCAAATGTCTCCTGATGGAAAGAAGAGGCTTTGGGGGTGCAAGTTAAAGGCGCTAGGAAGCCAGAAGCATGGGCGGCCCGTGGCTCAGCTCCCTGGCAGCCCTCTCTCTTCTCTCCTGTTGAGCCACCCATAGGTGCTCCCGCCCAGCCCACTCTATGGGAGGCAGAGAACTTCTCAGGCTCATTCGTCAGACAGTGGTTGATCATCTCCTACATCAGCAGGACGAGGGACTGCGAAGAGGGCTGGGGAGTGGCGCGGTGCCAGCTCACGTCCCGAGGCACTGGAGGCCTGGCAGCAGGAGAGCCTGCTGCCTTCACCTGCCCTCCTCTGCCCGGAAGCACAGTCGGGCTCCTGGGACGAAGCTTGGCTCAACACCCTTCCCTCCTCCTCCCTCGCTGGCCAGACACACACCGACACAGATACAACCAGCCTCTGCAGACGTGCGTCCCCCGTGTGTGTGAATCACATGTGTACATAAGCAGGTAACACAACCTGGACAAGCAGAGTCATGCTACACACACACACAGGTAAAACCACATGTGGATATATAGAAAAGCCTATCTGTTTGGATTTTTTTCCAGATACTGAAAGTCAGAAGCATGTTCTCACATAAGGAAGCTGCAGGCTTCACATACATCTGCAGTCCTCTCTCTAGGATTTTATTTGGCCTAGAAAACACACGTAGGCCTCTCTGTCCCCACCCCTGGATCTCCAGGGCCACCATTTCTCACTTCTCTCTCCTGTTCCGCAGCCCTTGCGTGACGGGCAGGCGGGCAGACGCTGCAGGCACTCCCTGCTCTCATGGCTCTTTGTGGCACAAAGGGAGGAAGAAAGCGAGCTAGCTTGGTGGCAGCAGGCCAGGGTGAGGGCAGTGGGAGAGTTGGCTCACAAGCCTTCTTTTCTCTGCTTCCCTGGGACGTCATTTAGCTGTGGGATCTGCTGGCTCCCCTCTTCTCCCAGATGTGGGGAGCTCTTCCTTTCTTATTCCGCTTTAGGGCCTCGTTTGACCCGAAGAAAGCCTGCAGCCTCCAAGACACAGGCCAGAAGACCCCCCATTCTATAGAGAAGACCTCAGTTTGCCCCCAAAGCTCCTCTAGGAAGAGTGACAAGTCACTGAACTCGTGAGAAAAAGGCATCACATCCATGTCTCCATTCTCCAGGTGAGGCATGATTTTTCTGTAGTAACTTTTCTAGATGTGATATACCAATAAGCACTTACAGTGCTTCTGCTATGGATACAGTATAAGGATATGAAAGAAAAAGAATATGAGGCTCATTCCTCTGGAAGCTCACATTTTCACTGGGGAGATAATATACTCAAAGCAAATATGAGAATAAGGTTGGGAATAGCAGCCTAACCTGGGGAGACTTGCTTTGGCTAAAACCTAAATCAATTACAAAGCAAAAGAAAGTGGATTAGAGGGGGAGATCTCATGAAATCCCATCATATTTGGATCATGCTAGGTTTTTATTTTTTATTTTTTTTGAGAGTCTCACTTTGTTGCCCAGGCTAGAATGAGTGCCGTGGCATCAGCCTAGCTCACAGCAACCTCAAACTCCTGGGCTCAAGGGATCCTCCTGCCTCAGCCTCCCGAGTAGCTGGGACTACAGGCATGCGCCACCATGCCCGGCTAATTTTTTCTATATACTTGTAGTTGGCCAATTAATTTCTCTCTATTTATAGTAGAGACAGGTTCTCGCTCTTGCTCAGGCTGGTTTCGAACTCCTGACTTGAGTAATCCGCCCGCCTCGGCCTCCCAGAGAGCTAGGATTACAGGCGTGAGCCACTGTACCTGGCCTCTTCCTGGTTATTTTTGAGGCTTTCTCTCCTGTTGTAACTGATTAATCATTGTCAAAATTCCTCCCTTGTAACCTTCCCTCTAGGGGAAGGCTGACCCTCGGCCAGCCTGTGGTGCAGGAATAGTTTGTTTTGTGCACCCTTTAGTGTCCACTCTGCATGTTTCTCTTTGCGATCCCACCCCTTGTCTCCACGCTCCCTCTGAGCTGCCTTCAGGCCTCCAGAACCCTACCCTGTCAAGTCGCTTCTCCCCTGCATCTGCCTTTCCATTCAAAGCCCACGCCACGTCTCACCTAGTGCCATGGGAAAAAACTCATCTCAGAAATGAATTTACACTAAGATGTAAATGTCTAATAGTTTGATTGTAGAGCCATTTATTGGAAGGGCTTCATATGATGAGACTGCAGCCTACAGAGGGGAGTGACCTTCCTGATGTCCCAGAGCCAGAGCTGGGACTAAAACCCAGGGCCCTGACTCCAAGTCCCCCAGGAAATAGCCGTCCACTCACCCAACTGAGGGACAGCAGAGTGGGCAGCAGTGTGTCTCTATGCCAGCCTCCACCCATCCCATCACCTGTCTGTTCTACCCCCCAGATTGATCTCCATGTTGTGCACTTTCTTCAATTCCGCCATCACCATTCAGTCACAAGCTCTCATCTCTGTGCTTGGACCTACCCGACACCCAGTCAATGCTCTTAACCTCTCTTAAACTCACCCTGTAGGGAGAGCGATGTCTCTTCTTTAATGTAGTAAAGTATATAAACCATATAAGCTATCATTTTTACCAGCTTTTTAAATTGTGGTAAAAAAACTAACATAAAATTTACCATTTTGACCATTTTTAAGTGTTCAGCATAGTGATGCTAACTATAAAAATGTTGTACATCAGATCTCTAGAATTTTTCATCTTTTTTCTTTTTTTGAGACAGAGTCTCACGCTGTTGTCCAGGCTAGAGTGCTTTGACGTCAGCCTAGCTCACAGCAGCCTCAAACTCCTGGGCTCAAGTGATCCTCCTGCCTCAGCCTCCCAAGTAGCTGGGACTACAGGCATGTGCCACCATGCCCAGCTAATTTTTTCTCTATATATTTTTAGATGTCCAGCTAATTTCTTTCTATTTTTAGTAGAGACAGGGACTCACTCTTACTCAGGCTGGTCTCGAACTCCTGAGCTCAAACCATCCACCCGTCTTGGCCTCCCAGACTGCTAGAATTACAGGCATGAGCCACCTCTCCCAGCTGAACTTTTTCATCTTGAAAACCTGAAACTCAATAACCATTTAACAACACTCCCCTTCCCCTATCCCCAGGCCCTGGCAACCACCACTCTACATTCTGTTTCTAAGAGTTTGACTACTGTAGAAACACATGTAAGTAGAATCACAGTGTCATTCTGTGCCCGACTTATTTCATTTAGCATAATGTCCTCAAAGTTCATCTATGTTGTAGTGCGGCAGATTTCATTCTTTTTGTAAGGTTGAGTAATATTCTATTGTATGTATATCTCACATTTTGTTTATACATTCACCCACTGAGGAACATGGGTTGCTTCCAATCTCTCGGCTATTATGAATGATGGTGTTATGAATATGGGTGTACAAATATCTTTTTGATATCCTATTCTCAATTCTTTTGGATATATACCCATAAGTGGGATTGCTGGAACATATGGTAATTCTATTTTAATTTTTTGAGGAACTTTCATATTTTCCATAATAGTTGCACCATTCTACAGTCCTACCTACAGTGCACAGGGGTCCAATTTTTCCACATCCTCATCAACACTTGCTATTTTCTGGGTTTTTTGATAGTGGCCATCGTAATGGTTGTGAGGTGATATCTCATTGTGGTTTTGATTTGCATTTCTCTGATGATTAGTGATTTTGAACATCTTTTCATATGCTTGATGGCCATTTATTTATCTTCTTTGGAGAAATGTCTATTTAAGTCCTTTGTTCATTTTTAAATCAGTTTATTTGTTTACTTGGTATTGAGTTGTTGGAATTCTTTTTTTTTTTTTTTTGAGACAGAGTCTCGCTTTGTTGCCCAGGCTAGAGTGAGTGCCGTGGCGTCAGCCTAGCTCACAGCAACCTCAAACTCCTGGGCTCCAGCAATCCTTTTGCCTCAGCCTCTGCGGAGCTGGGACCACAGGCATGCTCCACCATGCCCAGCTAATTTTTTTTCTTTATATTTTAGTTGTTCAGCTAATTTCTTTCTATTGTTTTAGTAGAGACCGCAGTCTCACTCTTGCTCAGGCTGGTGTTGAACTCCTGAGCTCAAATGATACCACCCGCCTCGGCCTCCCAGAGAGCTAGGATTACAGGCGTGAGCCACCGCGCCCGGCCTCAGCTGTGACTTCTTTTCTCACGGGGAAGGACGCCTCCCCTGGCCTCTCTGAGAAGGTGGTCCCCTGCTCTAGGTGCTGCAGCGCCTGCATCGGCCAGGCAGAGCGCTGACCATGGCTGTCACTAATCAGCTCCATGTCCATCTTCTTGGCTCGTCAGTGTGAGAAATCAGCTTTTTTGTTTTTCACACCATCAAGAGAATTATTACTCATTCATCAGGGAGTGAAGGGTGGAGGAAAGAAGGCCGTTTTTGGAACTACGGAGATCGCCCGTGCGGGACCTTTTCTATGATGTGCGGGCTTCCTATCAGCAGACAAAGCTCCTGTACTAGAAGCTATCACTGCAAGCTCCTCCTGTGGCCTTAGCCCCAGCTTGTCTAACTGAGGGCCTAATACCCCCACCCCACCCTGCTGCAGCCCCTCCCCACTTCTCTCCTTTCATTAATGGTTGTTTTGTTTCCTTATTTCCTGCCCCCTGGCCACTTTCCAGTCACCCTTAACATGTTCAAATCAACTTTTCAAAAAAGTTCCTCTACAACCCCATCCCAAACTATGAGTCACAATTCCTTATTTCTGGAGATGTCCCCTGTTTCATTTCTCTTGCAGCCTTAAAAACGGGTTCTAATCTTAGCTTAGAGGAAGTGCAGTAGTTCAAATCAGTCCTTGTCAATAAATGTTTCTTTAGCTTCTATACGCTAGACGTAGTGCTAGGGTCAGGGGGTACAAAAGTGAACAAGGGATGGTAGTCTCTGCTTTGAGGCAGTTTAGTGATGAAATGTACACTTGAACATAGCTTTTAATCTAACAGGATGAGGGCCATGACATAGGTATGCAGGGGCCTCAGGAAGCACAGAGGGCTCCTTGGGCCAGGCTGGGAGTTCAGGCAAAGCCTCCTGGGGGAGAAACACCTGAACTGTCTTGAAGGAGAAGGTGAAGAAAGGTAGGAAGGGCCTTACAACGGCTCTGAGTTGTGAGAAAGCCCAGTGAGCTTGAGGGCAAGCTACAGTGCGCAGCTACTAGAACATAAAGAGCCAGTGAACAGCAAAGAAGGGACTGAAGACCCAGGAGGAGCCAGGTTGAGAGGACCCCCAAGCTAAGTTAAGTAGCATGCACTTCATTCAGGGGGACTGGAAAGTCATATTTAAAGCAGTACTGTGACACAGTTACTTTTAAGCAGCTTGGTGGCATGGTCAGATCTGAGGTTTAGATAGAGCTGGCTGATCTAGGTGGGATAATCCTTAAGATAGACTGTTATGTAAGAAAAGTAAGGTGCAGAATATATAGAATATACTGCCATTTCACTGCTGGGCGTGGTGGCTCACGCCTATAATCCTAGCACTCTGGGAGGCCAAGGCAGAAGGATTGCTTGAGCTCAGGAGTTCGAGACCAGCCTGAGCAAGAGTGAGACTCTGTCTCTACTAGAAATAGAAAGAAATTAACCAAACAACTAAAAATAGAAAAATTAGACAGGCACGGAGGTGTGTGCCTGTAGTCCCAGCTTCCTGGGAGGCTGAGGCAGGAGGATCACTTGAGCCCAGGAGTTTGAGGTTGCTGTGAGCGAGGCTGATGCCATGGCACTCTAGCCTAGGCAACAGGGTGAGACTCTGTCTCAAAAAACTTCTCCAAGTTTCAATTTCCTCATTTTTCTAGTAGTCACTGGGCTTCACAGGGTTGTTGTAAAGACTAAATGACTCAACATGTATAAAAACAAACACTTCATGAAGAGTCAGACCTGAGGAGGTTGAGCGAGGATGTGTGCTTAAAGACATAGATGGCACTTGAAACAGAAGCCATGTTTACAAGAAACTGATAGGCAGCATATATGGAAAAGGATGTGGAGATCCGTCCTTTGTTCCCAGGGCAGAGATTGTGGGTTATCCAACCGTTATCTGCTCTCTGTTTCTGCCTCACTAGCAGAACCCTGGTGTTGTCTGGGTGGCCATGTTCTCCGCTATAAAACTCAGTCTCGGCCGGGCGCTGTGGCTCACGCCTGTAATCCTAGCTCTTGGGAGGCCGAGGCGGGCGGATTGCTCAAGGTCAGGAGTTCAAAACCAGCCTGAGCAAGAGCGAGACCCCGTCTCTACTATAAATAGAAAGAAATTAATTGGCCAACTGATATATATATAAAAAAAATTAGCCGGGCATGGTGGCGCATGCCTGTAGTCCCAGCTACCAGGGAGGCTGAGGCAGAAGGATCACTTGAGCCCAGGAGTTTGAGGTTGCTGTGAGCTAGGCTGATGCCATGGCACTCTAGCCTAGGCAACAGGGTGAGACTCTGTCTCAAAAAAAAAAAAAAAAAAAAACAAAACTCAGTCTCTTTAAGAGGAAATTTTTTTTTTTTTTTTTGAGACAGAGTCTCACTTTGTTGTCCAGGCTAGAGTGAGTGCCGTGGCGTCAGCCTAGCTCACAGCAACCTCAAACTCCTGGGCTCAAGCGATCCTCCTGCCTCAGCCTCCCGAGTAGCTGGGACTACAGGCATGCGCCACCATGCCCGGCTAATTTTTTATATATATATCAATTGGCCAATTAATTTCTTTCTATTTATAGTAGAGACGGGGTCTCGCTCTTGCTCAGGCTGGTTTTGAACTCCTGACCTTGAGCAATCCGCCCGCCTTGGCCTCCCAAGAACTAGGATTACAGGCGTGAGCCACAGCGCCCGGCAAGAGGAAATGTTTTGATGGAACTTCTGGGGAGGCTGTTTCACGAGCACTAACTCAGCTGGCAGGCCTACTCTTTGTCCTGACCTCTTCTGCTTCCTACTGCTGGGAACGTGATGTGATGGCAGGGGCTCCAGTAACCATTATTTGACAGTGACGCCATCTTAAATATGAAAGCCACGCAGTAAGGATGGCAGAAGAGAAAGACAGAAAAAGCTGCAGTCCTTGATGACCACAGGTTGCTGTATCGTCCCGTCTGCCTGTCTCCAGACTTCTTTTACATAAAAGGAAAATAAACCCCTACCTTGTTTAAGCCACTGTTATTTAAGGCTTCTTTTTCTAGTAAACCAATCTTCTTCCTGAATGATAGATATATTTTCCCCAAGATATTTAAGGGTTGAAAAGCTATATTCTAGAGCAGGGGTCAGCAAACTTTTCTGGTAAAAGGCCAGATAATAAATATTTTAGGCTTGAGACTCCGTTGTTATGTTGCGTAAGCAGCCACAAAGAATATGTAAACAAATAAGCATGGCTGTGCTCCAATAAAACTTTATTTATAGACACTGAAATTTGAATTTCATGTAATTTTCATGTATCATGAAACATTATTCTGCTTTTTTCCCCCACTCATCTAAAAAATATCAAAGCCATCCTTAGCTTGCAGAATACAAAATCAAGATTCGGTCCCCAGGCTGTAGTCTGCCAATCCGTCCTATACGGGAAACAATTTCTACAAATTACCCAAGGTCTGAGCAATGTGAGCCTTCACGATGTGTTTGTTGGTTATCTTTGTGTTTCTATATGTTTCAAAACCTCCTTGGATGTGGCAGAACTGGACCAATAAAATAATGAGACTCATTTTGGAACAACATAACAACAATTTCACATCTAAATGAACGCTGCCTTCCTGCTGGTGACCTTGGGAGGGAAGAGACCAGTCTTGGTGATGCTGATCACAAGATTTACATGGAGCTTTATTTGAATATTTAAGACTTGGTCTGTTGTTTAAGAAAACCAATCATCTTGCTCATAACCACACTTTGTAAGACCACATTACTGGTGACGGTCCTGATGTGAAACTAAAATAGACCGATCTGTGGGACCCTGAAGCAGCCCGGGGCAGCCTACAGGCGTTGCCCATTAGCTCCTGCTGCCTGCAGCAGGTGACAGAAGCCACTAGTAGTGGTAGAAACATGTAGAGACAACAGAGCAGTGGTTGAGGTACCGTGGGAAAGGCTGAGGGAGACACTTCCTACTGGGGGCTAGAGAGACATGAGGGTTAGTTTGAAAAAAAACCATGGTTGTGTGAGGTCTGGTCATAGTACGTAGCTTTTCTGATGGGAAAGGTGAAGCATTAGTGGAAAAACAGTAGGTTGGCACTCACAAGTTTGCACTGGAGAGAGAAGCCAAGGATGTGGACTGTAAAACCTTAAAAATAGTATGGAAAAAGCTAGTGGCATACACATGACAGTGCGTGTATGTGTCATTGCCAGAGCCATTGATACCTTCTAGGAAAAAAAAAAAATCAAACTATTTATTCAATATCAAGTGCACAAGTTATCGGGTTGATTAAAATGTTGACTTTTCTTTGAGGTGTGATAATACATGCACACATCCTTTGTGCTGTTTGTGTGTGAGTGTGTGTGTACTCAGGGGAGAGTGGGAGGGGAGGTCAGTAAAAACGTGTGTGGAGGGCAGGCCGTGATTTGGGTGTGGAAAGCCCAGAAGCAGAGTGAGAGGTGGTCTGTTATATAACGAGGGATAAGAGTCAGGGAGAGAATGCCTTGATGGGCTTTGAGTCATGCCAATAATAATTGTTTAGCCTCATATATGGTAAGAACACAGCGGGTGCTCTCTCTGTCTCAGTCTTTCCCTTGCTTTCTCTTTTTCCCCAGGCAGCTGTGCAAAGATTTAACCATGTGACCTGAAAGCACAACACTGAAAGCTCTGACTGTGCTGCGAGAGGAGAGTGGGGAAACAAAGGCCAAAGCCAGGGCCAGCGCCAGCTGCCAGGAACTCCCATCCCCAGCAGAAAAATAACAGCCAGACTCTCCTCACCATCACTCTCCTCACCAGCTGGCTCCATGCCTAGAGATGAAATTCTTTTCTTTCCCCTTCTCTTCACCCCCTCCCACCCTCCTGACCTCTCAACTGCGAGTGCAGCTCTAGGGCCCAGGAACCCACGGGCTCTTCTTCCTCTCTTTGGAAGGACTAGGTGGCACTCTTACAGGTCAGGGAGACTGCTGAGTTTGGGGCTACAGGAGAGGGAAGGACACCCTCTGAGGGTAAAGCTTGGAAGTGCAGTAAGTTCTGTGTGACTTGAATACCAGAACCAGCTCAGTAAGACTCTTAAACTCAGGTTGTGCATAGTGCTAAAATATCTCTGCCTGCCGTGCTCCTAATTCTTTATGCAATGCTTCTGCTCTTGGCTGACAGCTTCTGCTAGGAGGCCTTCAGGAAGAAGCAGAACCTTCTCTTTCTTTCTTTACTTCTCCTGACTCACCCCTACCCCATCTGTCCCTATTTCTTTCTGAAGTCTTAGTTCTACCACAGGCCCTAGGCCTAGATACTCTGGTTAGACTATTGCCGGTTCCACAGTGCATCGCCCATATACCCTTAAACCAGACATCTTTACTTCTCTGGGTCTTTTTTTTTCTTTTTAGGCTGGTCAAGTGAAGCAATGAGGGTGGAAAGGAACATTTCCTGGGTCTTGATGTTTTAAAATACTCACTTCTGCCTACTCTTTATATATTTTTATTTATTTATTTTTTCGAGACAGAGTCTCACTCTGTTGCCCCAGGTAGAGTGCAGTGGCGTCATCATAGCTCACTGCAACCTCCAACTCCTGGGCTGAAGCGATCCTCCTGCCTCAGCCTCCAAAGTAGCTGGGACTGCAGCCATGTCCAGCTAATTTTTCTAGTTTTCGTGGAGACAGGGTCTTGCTCTTGCTCAGGCTGGTCTTGAACTCCTGAGCTCAAGCGGTCTTCCTGCCTCGGCCTCCTAGAATGCTAGGATTACAGCCATAAGCCACTGCGCCCGGCCTTGCCTACCCTTTAAATGGGAGTTAAAAATAATAAAAAAAATACTCAGAAAAAGCACTATAAAAGTATTGCTATGTAAATAAATTGATATGTCACACATCCTGGTAATGTAGGTGAAAAGGACAGTTGTTAACGATTACAATATTGGCAGAATATACAAGAATCTCAAGCAACTCAACAACAGAACTCATTAAAAAGTGGGCAAAGGATAGTCAAAGAAACAGTCATGAAAGTAAACAGACAACCTACAGAATGGGAGAAAATTTTCCCATCCTACACATCTGATAAGGGGCTGATAACTAGAATCTGCTTAGAACTCACAAAAAACAGCAAGAAAAAAATCAAACAATCCTATCAAGAAGTGGGCAAAGGACATGAACAGAAATTTTTCAAAAGAAGACAGTAGAACGGCCAACAAACATGAAAAATGCTCAACATCTCTAATCATCAGGGAAATACAAATCAAAACTACAATGAGATATCACTTAACTCCAGTGAGAATGGCCTTTATCAAAAAGTCCCCAAACAATAAATGCTGGCGTGGATGCGGAGAGAGAGGAACACTCCTACACTGCTGGTGGGACTGCAAACTAGTTCAACCTCTTTGGAAAGCAATATGGAGATAATTAAAGGATACAAGTGGATCTACCATTTGATCCAGCAATCCCATTACTAGGCATCTACCCAAAAGAGCCAATGACACTCTACAAAAAAGACACCTGCACTCGAATGTTCATAGCAGCACAATTCATAATTCCAAAGCTGCGGAAACAACCCAAGTGCCCATCAATCCATGAGTGGATTAATAAAATGTGGTATATGTATACCATGGAGTACTATTTAGCTCTAAGAAACAACGGTGATATAGCACACCTTGTATTTTCCTGGTTAGAGCTGGATCCCATACTACTAAGTGAAGTATCCCAAGAATGGAAAAACAAGCACCACATATACTCACCAGCAACGGATATTAACTGAGCAGCACCTAAGTGGACACAATAGGTACTACAGTAATTGGGATTGGGCAGGGTGGGGGGGAGCAGTATATACATACATAATGAGTGAGATGTGCACTGCCTGGGGGATGGTCACACTGGAAGGTCAGACTTGTTGGGGGAGGGGAAAGGGGCATTATTTGAAACCTTAAAATTTGTAACCCAATAATGCTGAAATAAAAAACAAAGTGGGCAAGATATGAATAGACATTTTTCAAAGGAAGACATACAAATGGCCAAAAAGCATATGAAAAAATTTCAGGCCGGGCGCGGTGGCTCACGCCTGTAATCCTGCACTCTGGGAGGCCGAGGCGGGCGGATTGCTCGAGGTTGGAGTTCCCGAAACCATCCTGAGCGAGACCCCGTCTC